GCTGGGATTAAAGGCGTATGCCCATGGCCAGCTTGCATATGCCCATTTTCTTGAAGAGGAATTTTACTGGGTCAAAAGACGTATATAAACAGATCTCAACATCTTGTAAAATGTCCATGGTAAACTTTGGACAGATGTAGACATTGGTACCGTTTGTAAGAAGACATCTGTTTCCTTTCATCAATAGTAGGTAGTCTTTGTCTGTTATCTACCTACATCCCACCTATATTAGTTCCTTTGCTCATTGCTCTGACTAAATACCTAACAGCAGCTAGAAGCAGCTTAGAAGGATTTATTTTGGTTCACAAGTTAAGATAGAAAGACAGACACAGACAGATAGAAAGATAGATGGATAAAGACTGTCCTGGCAGGGGAGGCATTGCACCAGGACTTGGAGACAGCTTGTCACATTGTGACTACAGCAGTGAGGCAGAACAAGGTGCTAGTGACAGCCTGGGACCTCAGCCCTTCAAGATAAGGCACCATCTCTATTCAGAGTGGGCCTTACCTTCTAGCTCATCTCAACTGTCAGCTTGGCACACTGAGAAAGGGGCACTTCAGTTTGAGAAATTGCATGTCTGTGGGACATTTTCTTGATTGCTAATTGATGGAGGCGAGACAAGCCTGACGTGAGTAGTGTCATCCAGGTGGTGGTCCTGGGTTCTATAAGAAAGCTAGTTGAGCACAGGGAGCAGGCCGGTAAGCGGAGATTCGTGCCTTGGCTTCCCCAGCGTTGGGTTGTAACTGTCAGCAGACGGAAACTTCCTCCCTGTCTTGACAGAAAGCAAACCAGAACAGCTTTGCTTTAGAGATGCCTTCTTCACAGACACAACCAGAGGTCTGCTTTGTAGACGGCTCCAAGTCTGCTCAGTCCAACAGGAGATTGTCGTCTGTCCACCTACTTACCTGTCCGAGAGCAGGGTCTCACTCTTCCCAGGCTGGTCTACTCCTGAGCTCAGTCTCCCGAATCCCAGTGTTGTAGTGGTGAACTACTGTATCCAGCTTAAGTAGTTTTTAAGTGACTTGACAACTTCCTTAAAGGAAATAAAGATTAAGCCAGATGTGGTGGCGCACGCCTTTAGTCCCAGCACTTGAGAGCATACAGGTGGATCTCTGAGTTCGAGGCCACTCTGATTTACAAAGTTCAGGACAGCCAAGGCTACAGAGAGAAACCCTGTCTGGGGGGGGACAAAACAACAGCAACAAAAACCAGACCAAACTAAATAACAACAACAAGAAAATAAAGATTATCTTTGGTTTTTCGAGACAGGGTTTCTCTGTGTAGCTTTGCACCTTTCCTGGAACTCACTTGGTAGCTCAGACTGGCCTCGAACTCACAGAGATCCGCCTGGCTCTGCCTCCCGAGTGCTGGGATTAAAGGCGTACGCCGCCGCCGCCGCCACCACCACCCGGCGGATTATCTTTTTTTTAATTTGTAGTTTCTTAGACCAGTTTTATAGGATTAAAAAATTTATTTCACTTTGCACCATTGTTAGTTGAGCAGTTTTCTTGCTCACATAGTTAAAAAGCTGTTAGATGTGGATCCTCTCAAACCCTATTGGAATTTTGCCGTGTGATCTAATGTTCATCTTAAATATATGTGTAGCTGTAGTGTGTTCATAGGTACGTAGATACCAGAACCTGCAATGGCTGTCGGCTAGGGCAAGGCAAAGCCTCAGAGTGTTTCCTTTCAAAATTGCTGGGCATGGTTGGTGCCTGTCATTCTAACACATGGGGGCAGAGGATGTTGGAGGAGGGGAAGTGGCAGAGAGGCTTAAGGAGAAGGCCGGAGAAGCCCCTCCCTTCACTCACCGGAGGGACCCACAGTGGAGTCTGTGAGCCTTCTGCAGGAGGGACAGCGTAAAGGGACACCAAGACCGGAGGTCAGAAGCTGCTGACGAACACTGCTGGAAACCACTCTGTCCTGAGCCCGAGGGGTTGCTCAAGGAATTGGAAGTTGGCTGCTCATTACGGGTAATGATAGCACAAGAGCTTGCTGATCAAGCTCACGTCCCGACTAGGTGGACTCAGTCTCTGCAGGCTCTGCAGAAGGAAAGGCGTTCCCATTTCCAGGCATACAGACTACCTCTGATTCCAACTGTCCTGCAGAGGATGTCCTGCTTTAAAAAAAACAAGCATAAAGAGACAAAGGAAACCAATACAGTGTTGAGACTAGGGCAAAATTATTCTTCTTTCTTTTTCTTTTCTTTTTGGTTTTTCTAGACAGTTTCTCTGTGTAGTTCTGGTTGTCCTGGAACTCACTATATAGACCAAACTGGCCTCGAACTAAGAAATCCTCTGGCCTCTGCCTCCCCAGTGCTAGGATTAAAGTGTGGACCACCACTGCCTGGCAGGAACTAAATTGTTAAGATGCAGATATTTGAACTTCTAGATACAGCATTTGCAATAACTGATAATCTTAACTGATAATGCTGTCTAGTAGAAAAGGCCAGATCAACTGTGTGATGGAGAACATTTCAGCTAAGAAAATCAACTGAACAGTGCAGCGCAGAGCTGAAGAATGGCTCCAGTAGCCTGTCAACAAGCATGGTGTGACCAAGTGAGAAAGAAAGCTGAACTACAAACAGAAGAAATAAATAACACCAGATAAGTCATCCCTCTCCAAACAAGCGGAAAACAGGAGAACAGCCAGCATAGTCGGGACTGCTGAAGCCTGACGATGAAGAGAAAATCGAGAAGACAGTGGGAGGGAGGCGCCATCACAGAGGAGCAAGTAATTACAGCAGAGCTTTTGAGAACTCTGTGTGTACGTTTAATCCATGTTGAGTTGACTGTTGCTTATGGTATGAGGTGAGGGCCTGCCTGCCTCTTGTACTTGTAGATTCAATTTTTCTGGAACATTTCATATTTTTCGTTTTTGTGTATGGGTGTTTTGCATGCATGTGTATCTGTATTCACTTATGATGTGCCTGGTGCCCACACAGGCCAGAAAAAGGCCTATTCCCGAAACTAGAGTTAAGAGATTGTTGTGAGCCACCATGTGGGTGCTAAGGAAGTCAACCCGGCTTCTCTGAAAGAGCAGCTGGTGCTCTTAACTGCTGAGCCATCTCTCCAGCCACTCCTACATTTCCTTGTTCCATTTTCTGTTTGTTTTTCCCCCATTTTCTGTGATTACAGACTGTTTTAATAATGAAAATCAACTGAGCTGGGTGGTGGTGGTGAATGTCTATAATACCAGCACTCAGGAGGCAGAGGCAGATGGATCTGAGTTCGAGGCCAGCCTGGTCTACAGAGCTAGTTCCAGGACAGCCAGGGCTACACACAGAAAAACCCTGTCTCAGAAAAAAAAAAAAAAGAAAAAGAAGAGTCAGCTAAGCTATTTTATTTTGACTCCTGTTAAGATAATCTTGTCTGCGCTCTGTGCTGTTTTGTAGGTTGATGTTTCTGTAGCTTTCTGCTGCTTTGATTACTGTAACTTTGTAATGTGCTTGTGGTCGTGTTTGTTGTCTCCAGCTCTGTTCTTCTTAGCTTAAGATTGCTGTCCTAGTCTTTTGTTAAGGGTCACAGATTGGGTGAGTTATAAAGAAAAGAGGTTTATTCAGGGGCCTTCTTCCTGGTAGAGTTCTTGGGTGCTGTGGGGTGTCATGTGTTGAAGGTGTGGGAACATACCAAACAGTAGCTGGACTGACTGTATGAATTCTGACCCTTGAGATTAATGCGTTCGTTATGTGCATGTATTCACATGGGTACGGCCTTAGTCACCATTTGTTTGTTGTAGAATAAAAGTTTGAGACATTTTTTATGTCTGTGCGTCACATGTGAGCAGGGCCATGGAGGCCAGAAGAAGGTATAAGGGCCCCTAGAATTTGAGTTTTAGATGGTTGTGAGCTGCCATGTGGGTGCTGGGAGTCAAATCATGGGTTCTCTGGAAGATAGCCTTAAACACTGAGCCGTGAGCTAGCTTGCAGAAGGAGTGTGTGTCAGCCTACAGGAAGGTTAATGGACTGGTGAGGGGAGAAGGGGCATGTCGGTGTAGGGGTTGGCACGGTAGTCAGGCCTGCCCTGCAGCCTCTGAGCTGCGGTGAACAGGAAGCTTAGGGACCCACCTAGGCATTCAGAAACGACCCTGTCTCAGTTCCCAGAGTAACACTGTAAGACTTGGCCATCACAGGGTGTGTGTGTGTGTGTGTGTGTGTGTGTGTGTGTGTGTGTGTGTAAAGAAAGGCTGACCGGGCTGTTAATGAGCTTGGTTATTAAAGCTGTCTTTAGGAGAATTAGAGTGCACGAATTTTCGTTTTCCACATGTCCAATACAAGAGTGAATATGGAGGCTAGACCCTGCCTTTCTCCTTTGTTTCATATGGAGTATTTCTCCACCTACCCCAGGTTTATTCTTTTCCTTTTTTCACTTAACAATGCCTGGGTTAGCAGATTTCAGAAAAAGGGAAAGAACATGTAAACAAGGCGTTGTTACAGTGCCTCACCTCCATCTAAAGCTTGGGGCCCCTCTCCCAGAATGCTTCTTTGTATCAGTGCAAAGGTGGAGTACACTGAGCTCAGAGCCTTGAGCCAGTATTTGAAGAATTTGCCCCAAAAGGAGGGAACTGATTTTAGGAGTAAAAGAGTGTTAACTGCTTCTCTTCCCTTGGAAGAGGAGGGATGCTTCAGCCACACCACCCTTCTCCTACTGCTCCTGAACAATAGAGCTGCCTTTCAGATCAGAGACCCTTCTGGTGCTTTGTCCAGCCCTGGAATATTCTTGCCTCCCGTTCCCCGCTCCCCCTTCTATTTTCTTTGTGGAGACAGTGTCTCACTATGTATCCTGTCTTCTTGGAATTTGCTACATTAGGCCAGGCTATCCTTGAACTCCCAGAGGACGGCCTCCTCTGCCTCCTGAGTGCTACAACTAAATGTATTTCTTTGGTTTTTTAGTGAAATCTCAGTTGTGCTAATTAGGCCCAGGGCAGACAATATTCAGTGTGAACTTTGATTACCATGGTTTGTAAAAATCCATGATGAAATAACTGCTGTCTTGTATAGAGTTCCAGAAACTGTGGAGGAGTGTCACTGTGGACTCAATGGATGAGGAGAAAATCGAAGAGTATCTGAAGCGACAGGGGATTTCTTCCATGCAGGAATCTGGACCAAAGAAAGTGGTATGTAACCTCTGGAAAGCAGCTAGTCCCTTCTCTGCGTCTCCTCCTGCTCTGACAAGTGAGCCTGTGATTCCCTCTACTAGGGTTTCTCTGGGCCTCATGCATTGACTTGGCCGCATAAAGCTGGTCATGTCTGATGTACTGAGGCCAGTGAACCCGCCTGTCTTGATGCCCCGGCCTGGGAGAGCTTTCTCACCATCCCCCAGCCTGTTGCAGCCTTGTGACTTTGGAGCTCCAGCCACACCCTTCCTTCAGGGCCTAGCACTTGTCATCTCTAGTTGTGCACTTCCCTGGTGTCATCCTCAAGGGGCTGGTCTGTCTGCACCTCCCCTTCCTCCGCTGCCCCTTCATGTTGATGGCCTGCTGATCCTGAATTGTCCTGTTTTAGGAACCACGAATGTTGGTCTTTATAGCCTTTTCGTTGGATTCCTGTGGATATTAAAACGAAGGCTGGGAAATCCCTCTGTACCTGTTAACCACTAATTTGCAGTCCAAGAACAGGGTGGAAAGAACTACCAGCACTCTAGACTTGGGGCACTGCCCTCTCCCCTTCCCTTGCATGCTTTGTAGCTTTTAGTTTTTCCTTTTTTTTTTTTTAAAAAAAAAAGTGGTTCTCAGCCAGGCGGCGGCGGTGGTGGCGCGCGCCTTTAATCCCAGCACTCGGGAGGCAGAGCCAGGCGGATCTCTGTGAGTTTGAGGCCATCCTGGTCTACAGAGCAAGTTCCAGGACAGTCAGGGCTACACAGAGAAACCGTGTCTGGGGGTGGGGGGGAGATAAAACACACACACACACACACACACACACACACACACACACACACACACACCCCACCCCTTAATACTTTATCATTGTTTAGAGTTTTCTAAACGTGATATTTCAGGTCTACAGAATATAGACTAGTGCAAAGCTTCATGTGCCTATGCTTTTTCTAGCTTTGTCATTCATCAGTATTTGCCATATTTACTTGAGCTCACTTTTTCAACTCTAAGTGGCAAGTACTTTTTAGACTTGTAGTGGAGACAAAGTACAGACATTCACTGCCTCTTATTTTACTGACTTCAATGCCTAGCATAGTTGTGCTGCACTTTGGTGACCTACCTGTTGTTCCAGTGGGGTTTGTGCCTTGTGGTATCAGGGCTAGTTGGAGGCTGGGTGTGTGCTGTGATGGGGGGTGTGCTGTGATGGGGGATGTGCTGTGATGGGGGGTGTGCTGTGAGGGGGGGGTGCGGCCGGACCTCCAAGCAGGAGGAGGGAAAGGGCTCCAGGCCCGGAGTCTCTGCTGCTGGTCTCTGCCTTGTTCAGTCACTCTCCACTGCTGTGTCCCCGGAGTCACTGTTGTGTCCCGGCTTCCTTTTCCTGCAGGCCTCCATTCAGAGAAGGAAAAAGCCTGCTTCACAGAAGAAGCGGCGGTTCAAGACCCACAATGAACACTTGGCTGGAGTGCTGAAGGATTACTCAGACATTACCCCTGGCAAATAGGGACCATTTCTATCCTCAGACAAGGTTACAGACACACTGTCAAGATCTTTCCTGAAGCTTGGGGTCTGAAGACTTTCTGCCTTCCCGTCTGCTCCTCGGGTCTGAGGACAGGAGCAGTTGAGTTTACAGAACAGGAGCGGATTACCAAACTCAGCTATCATCACCCAGCAGACTAGTGGGGAACGGTTCCTGTTAACTCCTGAGGTTGCTTGGTTTTATATTTTTCTAGAAAGACACATAGCATGGCATGCAGGTGTCTTTGCTATTTGTCTTGATTTCTAGATGGTTCTTGATTCCATGTTTTCTCGATTGCTTTAGAACAGGTTGGCAGATAGTGCTGACTGCAATATTTCTTTATTCCAAGAGAAAATATTTATAATAAAATCATTTGTAGGAGGATCTTTAAGAAGTTAGGAAATTCAGTTTGTCTTTCTTAATTCTTGGAAATAGCAGGGAACAGCCTCAGTCACTGATTGCTTGGGTGGGTGTTTGGGATGTCCCAAAGATTGGAGTCAGTACTGTTGGCAAGTGTGTGGATTTCATCTTTGGAACACAGGGTATGACTCTGGTTAATAAGCTAAGCAATAAAATTACACTAAACGTAACTGTTAATGTTTTCTTTAAAAAGGCTAGGTATTTAGTAGGTTGGAGTCATGGTTTGCTCCATCTTGAACAAGGATTAGGAGACGCTTCTTGCCAGGCTGAACATGAGCCTCACCACAGCCCAGCTCTGAGGGGCCTGTCCTGGCCATTCCTGCTGGAGGGTCCCTCTGTCACCTGTTCCTGGTCCAGTTCCGTGAGAGCCGTTATCAAGTGTGTGTGAACTTTTAGGGTTTCCACTTGAACTTGTAAACAGGGCATGTTCTTACCTGTCCTTTCATGACTTGCCCTGTTCCTTTGTGTTGATTATCACAGGTTTCCTCTCACCCATTGAAATGGTGTTATGGAAATATAAAAACCAAGTTTAATATTCTCAGAAAAGTGGTGACAGTACCCCAAAGCATTGGGCTTCTGATGATAATACTTCATATCCACTTCATATCATCTATATGCATTACCTTTCTTACCTCTGAGCTCCAAAATATGGTCTAAGAAGATGTCACACTGGCTCCCACATAATTAGAAAATAAGAAACTTACGTCTTGCTTTGTGTCTGAAGGTTTTTGCTGGTAAGGAGCTGTAATGCTTAAGGCATCAGTTTTTTTCCCCATAAATCTAGACCTCGCTCATCTCCCACAGATGCCTCTGTTTGCAAACCATGTTCTCCAGGCTAAGTTACGGGCCAGGTCTGCAAGGGCAAGCCTGTGTGTTTCAAAGGCCTCATCTGGCTCTAAGGAGGCAGACTCCAGACCTGCTGGACAGGTAGGTGCTCAGATACATGTCTACTGCCAGGCCTGAGCCTAGGGACTTCTAGCTAAGCCTGCTCTTGTTTGTTTCTTGGGGACTGGCCTGATAATTGCTTTTAATTTCTTGCCTCTCTTCACAGAAATGAAGACATTGAAATCTAGAAAAATAAACTATCTTGCTACTTGCTAAACTTGTAAATTCTATAATTTTGTTTCATTCACTTGCGTTGTCTTGCAAGTATTGTTCCCCTTGGCCTATAGCTTGTGTGAGTATTCTCTCTGCTGAGGTACCGGGACGGCATCCCCGGGTGATGTGTGGGGAGGAGACAGTCCTGTGGGAGACTTGAGAGCCTGGTTGTGTTCAGTGGCTCTGATAAAAAAGAACAGACTCTGGCAGCAGGTCTTCTGGGTGACTGAAGACATCCCCCAGCAATTCCAAGTGGAAGTCTGATCTCACCTCTGCTAGTGGCCGCCGGATCTGCTGCCATTTAGAAGCAAGTGGGACTGGGCACGGCTGGGAGAGTTAAAAGGCTGAGACAGTCTTCCGTGCATCTGATCTATAATTCATCACAATCACAAGAGGCTTTTAGGGGCTAGTTAAGAGAAATGTAGTTGAGCTCAGGCAAAGTATAAGAAATGAACCTCTGGCTGCTGCTGTCAGAGCCTGTAAATGTGGTCAGGTGATGGTCAGACCCAGGGGATGGAGAAACACTCAATACTTGTGGATTGGAGTACTCGGGGAAGGGCAATGTAGGAACTTCAGTCCTAGTACTTCTGGGGATCCTGCGCATGTACAGCCCTGGATTTCTCTTGTGAGCTCTTTGTTTGAGATCACTAGAGCAGAAGCATGTTCTGAGTATAGGCGCTCAAGGGACAAGTACATTTGAATTTCTGAATTTTCCGATTCTTGTAATGGCAGGTATCTGAGACAGAGAAGATGAAACTTAGCGTCCCCTTACTTTCTCCTTACTGCTTTGAAATGACTGGTTTGGGGGAAGGTTGGGGTTTTCTCAGGTTTGGCTGATTGTTGTTAGCTAGCTGAGACTAGTACTGTGGCCGGGGACCAGCAGTGACCTGCTGTTCATGGCATTGCTGTCTTTGGAGCTGCGTGTAGGATGGTTGTTTCCCAGTTGGTCTGTCCTGAGCGATCAGTAGGTGTTCACAAAAGGGAGGACCAGTGGGGACTGGGAAACCCTCTCAGACTAATTCGGAGCACCAGGCTGTGGCCCGTCATGTGAATTTGTGGAAAGACAAATTGGAATAGGGCCTGACATTGTGGCACTGCCCCTCTTCTGTTTCTAGAGTTAAAGCACATTTTCCTTGATGAGAGTTTTTCCCCCAGAAATAAATCTATGTGGCTGGTCCATGACCGTACTACCTTAAACATGTCTGACCTTGGAAGCTGAGTGTGATCTTCGTGGTTAATACTTGCATGGCAGAAGTAAGTCTCTCTTTAGTGGATTGACAGGGCCTTCTGGAAGTATGGGCTGCAGTATGGCCCAGCCACACTGGTTTGGAAGTTGGTAGGTGCATTCCTGTGACCTCATGCTTTCTAGACTGATGAAAGGGCAATGACTTTTCGCCTGGACAGAACACTGCATGCACACGGCTCTGGGTTCAAGCCCTGGACACAAAACAAAAATGTAAGTATGTCGAAAGTGATACCTGACTGTGAGCTGGTGCACGCCTTTAATCCAGCATTTGGGAGGCAGAGGCAGGCGGATCCAAGTTGGAGGTCAGCCTGGTCTACAGAGTAAGTTCCAGAATAGCCAGGGCTACACAGAAAAATCCTGTCTGAAAAAACCTCAAAACAAAAAAGTGGTAACTGAAAAAACTACAGCCTGAATTTGGTGAGGCCAGTTCTAGAAATGTCAGAAAGCAGGTGTAGTTTTGCACTTGACACTTTGCATGTTTGCCAAGTCCTCACACTGAAACCATGTGTTTAGTTTTCGGAGAAAAATGCTCCTTTGTCCAGGTAAATATTTTAATTTGAACATTATTTCAAATTGTATTTAGGCCTGTTTTATTCAAAAGACAACTTGGGTAAAATTTAAGAGTCTGGCTCTATCACACTTCTAACTGTGGGTAGAGATGGGAAAGAACCTGACTTCGTAGTTCATTAATCTTGGATTTTCTACCTTCTGCCTCAACCCTATGAATGCTGGGATCCCAGGCCTGTGCAGCTCTACCCAGCTTCTGATTTGACGTGAACAGAGAAAGGGGACTTTTCAAGTGTGTAAGCAGAACAAGAGGACCTTGTAGCCCCCTCCCCGAACCCACCCTGGATCACACCCTTGTTTCTAAGTGAGGAGTGTATATGAAGTGGGGAGTAAAAGTTTCAAGTTGTTGGTTTGTGAGAAGACTTCCCTGCTCCCCCAATAAAGCAGAAAGTTACCATGACTTAGCTCCCAAGATGCACCAGTGAAAGAACCCATGGATATCACTGGGCTACAAAGGAGGAAGCTGGGAAAGAGTTCTTCATGCATGGTGGCTTAAGACTTTTGAATCTGGCCAGAGCAGGGCAGCTGAACGAGGGTTGCTATTGGCAATGTTAATCCTGCAAGCGTGTTCTGCACTGGTGGTAGATAGAAACTTTACAGCTTGTTCAAATTTGAACACTTTAATCAAACCGCCAACTGTATATGGTTCATTTAGCACCTGTCAATAAAGGTTTCGAGCATTTTGAGGACTAGTATTTCAGAGAACACGTCACTAACTAGTCACTAACACTCTAGCTTTCCCAGAATGTTGTAAATTGTTTTGTCACAGAGAATGTCACACTGGTTTAAAAGTGAACAGGAAGAGAGCATCCATTATGTTCTTAAGCCAGGGAAGAGTGCTCTCTTCAGGAAGCAGTTGGCTGTCTCAGTGATTGTTGAGATGAATTCAGAGTGTTGGCTATGCTTTCTCATTCTTTAGCTCAGGTAATGCTTGCAGTCCTGCTTCAGCCTTTTAGGTGCTGGGATTACAGATCTGCACCGCCATGTCGGGCTAATTCTTAGGGATGCCTGGTGGAATGGGGCAATACTAGTTGCAAAGTCTCATGAAATAAGGGCAGATAGGCAAACACTGGGTTCAGTGAGTCCGAAGCTTAGAAGTGATTAACTAGAGGTGCTCTCATTTGGAAACTTAAGCTTGGCAATATTCACTTGAGTTGAAATTTAGTTGGGGGGCTGTTTAATTCTACATGCTAGATGATGTGTTCTCGGGGAGAGTCCATTTGGCTCCGTTACCGTTCTTTTGAAGCCTATATAATTGAGACCTTTTCATAAGGGAGCAAGAGTGAACGAACAAACCGGTGTGCCCTTTTCTAATACCAAGTTACTGGTTCCCAAAGACCCTGCTACATTCATATCTGCTCAGCAGAGTGACAGAAGATATTCCGGAGAAAGTTAACCGAGTGGGTGTAAACTGCTTGGTCAGCAGGAATTTATCTAGGGCTTGCACTGGACTGGGACACACACTGCAGGCAGGCAGACAGGCTTGTCCTTGCACATAGCTACTGAGCGGCTAGGCTGAAGGCAAAGCCGTCTATGATCACTGTACTCCATAGAGCAGTCTTGGGCATACTTCCATGAGCTGGAGGGTGACTGGAAGGTACACCAGTCTTCTGCAGGAATGCCAGATGGTCAGAAAGCAGTGGCTGTGGCCTGCTTTGGATGGCTAGTCTCTGGAAAACTAAGTCATGAGATGAAAGTATCGGTGACCAAGACTGAAGGTCGCCAGTGACTACTGAACAATTAGGAGGCAGGACAGGCAGGGATGCAGCTCAGCCGGTAAAGTACTTGCCTAGCAGATTTATAAAATCCTCTATAGCACTCCCGTGATCTCAGTACTGGGAAGGGGAGGCAAGAAGGATCAGAAGTTAGGGTCATCCTTGGCTACACAGCAAGTTTAATGTAAGCCTGGGATTCGTAAGACGTAGGGGGTAAAACTGATGAGTGTATAGAATACTGTTATCTTGGCTAAATCAGCAGCCACATTTTTCTAGATTTTGAGGCTTCCTTTTTTAAAAAAAAAAAAAAAAGGTTTCATTTTATGTGTTGTACGTGCACTGTGTGTGTCGCTGCCTGAAGATGATGATGTAACCCTCGATGATGTGGACCTCGAGTTACTGCTTTGAGTCACTCGATGTAGGTGCTGGGAACCTAACCCCAGTCCTCCGCAAGAGCAGCAAGCTCCCCTAACTCCTGAGCCATCACCCCCAGCAGAATCCGGTCCCCACCCCCGAGACAGGGTCTCACCGTGTAGCTCTGGCTGTCCTGGAACTCTGTAGATCAGGCTGGCTTAACTGAGCCAGGCTTAACTGAGATCTGCCTGCCTCTTGGGACTTAAGGTGCTCACCACCATGCCTGGCAGAATCTTAGTAATTTTGAGCTCAAACTTTGTAGGTGAGGGTGGATGGTAACTCATCAGAGCTGAGTTAAAGGTACTCAGGCGTGTGACGCCCTCAGTGGTGCGTGGGTGTGTTGTTATTAGCCCTGACGGCCACTCTCTGAATCTTGCCTAGTTGTGCCACTGCCTGGAAATGGGAATCTCAGCGTTATGGGGCATGGTGGGTTGATGTTGTGAGTAAGTTCCCAGACAATCGTGTAATAGCTGGAATATACTTTATTATTACTTTTTTTAAAAACGACAATAGAAAAGTACCTTTACAGTTTATAAAAGCATACTCGATGGGGAAGTGGCCTCTCTTTAAAGCAAGTAGAGGAGTCTAAAAGCCAAGTGGCACTGGGGTCACGAGCGGTCCCCACACACCACTGTGGATGTTTTAGGTCCCCAGCTGCTGCCTCCCCCTTTCCTCTAGTTTCTAGGGCAAGGCCCTTACGCCAGGCCTTGGTGTTTCTTTTTCCTTTTTCTTTTTCCAATAACCTGTAAAAACTTGACATTCTTGCTTCTAATGAAAAATAATGAAACAACACCCACCCCCACCCAATGGTATAATCATTAAAACATGTTTTCAACACAACACAAGCAGATCAGTAACAAAGATACAAAGATTGTGATTATGTCTAGCTATATCAGCAGCTGGAAATTCTGAGGTCAATATAGTATTACACATGGCTCTTGTCTGAGGAGTGGGGAGAAGCTGCCCTGTCACAGCCTCTGGAAATGTGTTGGTATACAACACAAGACTAACTGGGCTTTGAAGAGGTCTTGAAGCAAGGGAAACGGCATTCATTGTAAATGGCCATGGTTACATGACCCACCCAGTGCAGTGCAGTAGGTCGTCTCAAGATGAGCACACAGTGTTCGGAGGACGCGATGGATGGCTGCCAGCCTTTGGAACACCAGCTCAGGTAGGCCAGTGCTGTGCAGAACCCCTTGATGTGATGCCCATTGCAGCCAAGCAAGCTGGGTGGGCAGCCTGCTTCTCCTGAGGCCATGGTGGCCAAACCAAGGTCCCTCTACTCACTGGGGAAGTGAGAACAGTTTATGGAAGGTGGGTGATACATTAGGTCCCACACTCCAAGGGTGCTAGCATGAACAGTAAGAATATAATAAATACAAGTATAAAATGGCAATACCTCACTTGGCATAGTTTGTATTGTGGCAGCCAGAGCCACCATGAAACCAGATGGTACACTGTGCTCAGGAGACATGACCTAAGTAGTAGTCTTTGCCCAGATGTGAATACACTATGACAGCAGATACTCCGGGGCTTTGATTGTCTTGCCGAACTCATTTCTACACCATGTTACTAATGTGCCCTGACTCTGGGCCAGGCAGATGGAGTCCACATTCACAACACAATTGTGGAAATCTCGATGCTAGTCAGAGACATGCCTCAAACATGCAGCTCATTGTAGAAGAAAAACAAGATAAACGTCATTAAAAGCATTCAAAAATCAAGCGCAAAAGTGATCTAACCTAGTGTAAGAACTCATCCCTACATTCTTAAAATGTCTCTTAGAAAAATACTAACCGTCTTGGCTTTACTGTTGTCTTTGTTCTGAGTATGTCTCCAAACTGTACAGAAATTTCAGACCATGCATTCACAAATAACACATATTTCTTAAAATTATACAGTGTAAAAGAGTAAAACACATTTTATTATATATTTTTTGTCTTTGAGGAAAACAGATGTGTGATAGAGGCTGTGGCAAAGTCTTGAAGGGATCAAAACTGGACAAGGTGTTTTCAAACCTGAAACAGAGAGAAACCATGTTGGAGAGCAACCTTGACAGTCATGTACAGCACCTCCAGCACCTCCCCCAGCTTCTGTGAGACCAGGAGTGGCAGCAGACTCGAGGGCAGTGGACAGAGACATCAAGCTGGCGTAATCCAGCACTGGAGGCTGAGGCAGGAGGATCAGCTGGAGTTCCAGGCCAGCCTGGGCTACAGAAAGACCCTGCCTGGAGAAAACAAAGCAGGGGCCCAGCCAGATGGCTCAGTGGGTAAGCATAGTAACTGTCAGGTCTCGCGACCTGAGTCAATCCTGGGGACTTCCGTGGTGGAGAGGGAACAGATTCCTGCAAGTTCCTCTCTCTCTCCACATGCACTAAAATGATGTAAAATGAAAGCCCCTTTCCCCTCAAGTCCAAACAAATGCTTGTTTACTTTGCTTTGGCAGAATCAGAGGCTGGTCTTAGAATTTTTTTTTCTTGAGAGGAGCTTGCTTTGTAAGCGGCTACTCAAGCTCACAGCTCTCCCATCTCACAAAGCCTAGGTACTGCCCTGCCACTGAGTGCCTCCAGCCTAGGCTCTGGACTGTGCTATCCACAGCTTTGTAGTGCTGTCCAGGATACACCGTAACCCCATTTTTACTGTTATTCACTTTATAGTCTCCAACTCCCATGTATTCTTGCTGTCTTCTGGACAGGGCAGACTCGGGTTGTCCAACACAGGAAAGGTAGATGTACCAGCAGACTAGGAGTCTGCACAGAGAAAGGCTTATGTAATCATAACAATGGCCTACAAGTTTTGTTTGTTTTGTTTTTTTTCCCAGAGACAGGGTTTCTCCGTATAGTTCTGGTGCCTGTCTTGGATCTTGCTCTGTAGACCAGGCTGGCCTCGAACTCACAGAGATCCACCTGGCTCTGCCTTCCGAGTGCTGGGATTAAAGGTGTGTGCTACCGCCGCCCGGTGTATGGCTTACAAGTTTTACGGTCCTAATAGAATTACTGAGTCGCTGCGAAGCTTGGAAAGCGCCAGTGAGAACGCCAAGGGTGCACAGCTTTGCAGAGCAGGAAGTGACATGCGGGTGGGCGCACTGTGCTATGACTCTAAGGCTCCTCCCTCGCCCCCAGTTGTTACAACCTGGCACATCACCAGCTGCTTCCTGTAGAGAGCTGTAGGAATGCTGTCGCCTTCAGTGACCACTTCCTTCTCCCTGTCCTCTGGCAGCAGCATTCCCAGTCAGAGATGTTTGTCCAGCAGGGATAGACAAAACTCATCCTCCTTAGGAGATGCACTTTCTGCCTCCTCGGCCTCTTCTCACACTTAGTACCACTGGGGGGGGGGGGGGGGGGCGCGGACCATATACCCTGAGAGGCTCAAGTGAGGAGAATCTAAATGTGCCCATCTCTAGGCAGGCATGGAGGGGCATGCTTTTAATCCCAGAGGCATGGGATCTCTTGTTCAGGCCGGCCTGGGCTACATATGAGTTCCTGGCTAGTCAGGGCTCTACTGTTAGACCCAGTTTCAAGTCAGTCACCAAAAACACTTGCAAAAAGTGCCCATCTTTTCTGTTAAACCCTGATTTCTACCTGGGAGTGGGTGCAGCCCAGAGTTCCCACAAGCTAGGTATGCATCGGGTGGCATTTCCCTGGCTGGGCGGGAGGAGCGGGAATCTGGGGCAGAAGAGGACAGATGGAATCACGTTTTAGGTGACAGCAACAAATTCTTTGTGAGCCTCTGGCCTCATAGCCTGACTCATTTCCTCACATCACTGACGTGCCAGAGGAGCTTCAGCTGAAGCACACTGGTCGTCTCAGAACACTCCTGCCTTGCTCCCCACAGAGCAGATGTCAGAGGGCAATGACAACTGGTCACAGAAACACCACAACTTTCCACCATCTACATGTCCTGCCTCCTCCTGACCTTGACCACCATCCATCAGACCCAGGCTGGCCTGCAGGGGTTCCTGCCATGGAGACCCTCCAGGCGCAGCACTGGGCTCCAGGAACAGGTCTGTGTGGATCCTCCTGGCTTAGAGAGGGCCATCTTGGCAAAGCAGCCAGCTAGACAGTGACCGAGACTAACGACTTAGTGTGATGCTGGATGGACAGGATGGCGGGCTGCCGGGAACAGGCTGCCACTATGGCTGCGCCTGGTGGTGGGGGTGGGTGGGTTAGGCTCAGCTGTTGAACCTGAGTCTACAACCGCCTTTGTGCACTGTTCCACTGAGACCCGTCACCATCACTTCAGCCTTGGGCAGCTCTGTCCTCTACACAAACGTCAGCACAGCTCTGTCCGAGGACCATCTCCTACCCACCATCCCTGAGGAGCAGAAAAGGACTCCTCATACTTCTCCATTAGCTACCAATCCCTAGGTCCCTTAGTACATCCTTTGAGACTGTCTCAGGGTGTTCCCCCCTTTCCTTTTCTAGGCCCCCTCAGCATTTACAAACTGTCTTTGAAAACTTACTTTCCTAGGCCCCTCAATGTCCCTATAAAACTTCTAGGATGTTTTCTTCACCAAGACAATCCTCTAACCCAGTCGGAGCTAGCAGGGTACAGCAAAATGTCCCTTCATAGACACCTGGGCCCCTGTCCTAATTTGTAGTTGCCAGGCAGGGGACTGTACCTGGAGGCCTGGCCTGGGTTCTGCACCCCAGCTCTGAGGCACCCTTCTGTAGGAAGTGGATCCCTCGGGGTGGGGTGAATAAGCCTGATTCTGGCTTTGTGACACTCTCCTTTCCCTCCTGCACAGGATCTTTTCAAGTTGGGGAAGGAGGAGTGCTGAACCTATAGTTCCCGAGCTTTCCAGCACCCACCCTGGAGACGTAGTTCTCACATGGGAAAAGAATGTATCCACACTGCCATCTATGTCCCAGACAGAACACAAGGTCACAATGGAGCTATTTCAGTCCCTGTAAACAAGGAAGAGGTTTAGCTAGGGATGGAGTTCAAACCTTGGAATGTGTGAACAAGGACGTTTAAACAGAATCCAAAGACATCCGGGAACACAAAGCGCCACGGAGGGAGCGGGCTGGGTGACGAGGGGCAGATTCTTTTCCAAGGAGCCTTTTGGGGAAGGGGGCCCAGAGCAACGTGTAAGTGGTATCTCAAAAACCAGAACCAAACAGCTGGTGGCACGGCTCTGCGGAAGCCTGACAGACGACCTGAGCTTGAGGCCGCTCCGGAAAGTTGTCCTGGTTTCCACACGTCCTCTGCGCGTGCGCGCACAAGACAGTTTCAGAAGCGGAAACAACCCTGTCAAAGTTCCTCGTGTTGAGTGAGCTGCAGCCGCACACGCTGGAACACATGGGGACTTGAAGTATATCCAGTCCTAAAACACTGGACTGCGGCTGCCTCTGACGTGAGACCACTGGGGCACTTGGCCGACTCACAGGGGGACGATAAAGTGGAACAAGACCTGTGATTCTGCGTTGCTAAGCTACACTCTGCCTGGCCAGCTACCAGGTAGATTTTCTCTCCGAATCAACGGCTTTGGCCATCCATCTGCATATTGATTTCCCTCAAAGCTTCACTTCAGCCTTCTAACGTTTATTTTTGCCAAGTCAGGTAAGAACTATTCCTCTGCTACCCTGACTCCATTTTTATACCTGTCGGCTTAATCAAGAACTCATACAAGTGACTATTCCAAACATTTAAAGTGGTTATAGTCTTCTGCAGAGACCAGTCTCCATGTACCCTTCCTGGCCATGTGTGTGCATGGCTCCAGCCCCTCTAGGCAGAGGGACACTCGCCCCCTCAGCCCAGGCGTGCCTCTGTCGGGGGCATCTGAAACTCTAGTCCTGAGCCCCTCGCCGCCTCCTGCTCCTTTATTATTAGGCCCTTCTGGTATTGGGTATAACATCACCCACTTCTGCCACTGGGCCGGTAGACCTTGGACAGCTAATATTTTGGTTGTTTTACTGCATTTAAAAAAATACCCGGCACTGGGGAGCTCGGTGGGAGAACACTTGCCTAGCATGCACGAGGATCTGGCGTAGGACTAGAAAAAAAAAAATTAACCACACGAGTGTCTATACACTGATCTCTAAATTATCCAGAGAAGAAAGAAAAACCCCTCAGAACACAACCCATGAGGATCAAGAACATCAGGGGCACTAATGCTGAGGATCGTGATGAAAGGAAACAGATTACAAGGCCGTACGACTGATGGGTTGTATGATGGGGCATGTATGGGGCCTTCGACAGCTTGGTGCTACTCTAACGGGGGAAATACATTCTTCCGGTGGCTCCGTTTCCAGGTGCAAGGCAGGCACAAGGGAGTGGAGCACGTCAGATGTGCGTTCTTCAAAACGAGTGCTAAGAGGTGCCGTTCTCAGCACGAAGTCACTTAGGCCCCCCCAAATGCCGTAATGACCTCCTTGCTTAGTTGCCTGATCCTCTGCCCTCAGCAGCAACCTTGACGTCCTTTCTGACTCATTTTTTTTTTATAGGCCCCCCTCATAAGGAATGAAATTCGCCTCCTTATTTGGGCTGAGGCATGAAGTGACCCTGGCATTCTGTTACCCGAAGCCACGCTCGGCACGGTCACTGAGAGCTGCTGTCTGAGGTGGCAGTGAGCAGGTCATCTCTGGTAGTGTACACTGTAATTTCATTGACAGACCACCACCCAGGGCCAGGCTTGGTGGCACACGCCTTGGTGGCACTCGGAAGGCCGAGGGAGGGACACCCCAAGTTCCACATCGGCCTGAGGTAGGTAGTGAGACCCTGACTTCCAAGCCAAACTAAACCAAAAGTGACAACTTTGATTATGACAGCCACCAACTGAAAAGACAGGCCCGAGATGCCCGGGATACGGAGGAACCCCTGGAGAAGGCTGCAGCTTTAGTTCGACCATACTAACCCTGAGTTACTGTATTTGGACAGATGAGAAGGGAACACATGCACTATATCTTAGATTTCCAACAAACTGCTCAATTTCAAACGAAGGTTTAGGGAGCTGAAAGGGAGGGAAAAATCTTCATTTGCTTGTGAAATTCCCTTAAACCATGGTGCCACAGGGGAAA